AAACGGTCGGGAGTCCTGAGACGTCGACTGCAAAAGACGCAGAGGAAAAGGCTCTGCAATCGTCAGCAGTCGTCGAAACACCACCCTCGAGGCATTCCTGCTGGCGCCAATTAATGCCATTCAACGGTCGAAAGACGGACGAGTCCTTCTTCAAGCTTCTCTTCCGACCGTTCCCATTGTTCCTGCATCCCGCAGTCCTGTGGGCTTGTCTGCTCCAAGGAGTGATTATCGGCTGGACTGTCATGGTTGGAGTTATACTCTCTCTAATCTTCCTAGGGCCGCCTCTCTTCTTCAACGAAGAGAGGGCGGGCAAGATGTACACCAGCGCGTTCATCGGCAGCATCCTCGGCCTGCTCGGTGCTGGTTTGTACAGCGAGTTCATTACGCGATTCATGATCAAACTCAACCGGGGCAAGTACGAACCCGAGTTCCGTATCCTGCTTGTCATTCCGACGCTCGTGTTCTCCTGCGTCGGTCTCTACGGCTTCGGTATAACAGCAAACAATGTGGCCCGCTATGGTTGGATCGTCCCTGAGGTATTTCTCGCATTTATCATAATCAGCATGGTCATGGGCTCCATCGCCTCAGCCCAGTACCTCCTCGACGCTCATCGCGACCTTGCGGTTGAGGCGTTCACGAACCTCATCATCTTCAAGAATATTTTCTCGTTTATCCTGGCGTACCATGCTTTCAATTGGGTATTTGCGATCCGCATCAACCACTTATTTATTATATTCGGTAGCATCGAGATTGCTATCTGTGTGCTAAGTGTTCCCATGTATATCTTTGGGAAGAAAAACCGCGAGTTTTTCCACCGGCATGATCTATTGAAGATGACAAGGCTTCGATAACGCGGGCGTTTTAAGGCCATCCATATCGAAAGTATACGGGTATTATTATTAATTTAACGGTATTGCCCAAATGGGTGCCCAATCGCACAGTCTTTCCTTGCTCGTATGTCAAGAAACGGAATGAGGATCTCTACCTGAACGAGGCTCCTTTTCGGCTAACACAGACGTTGGCCTCGTAGCCATCAGGGGCACGAACATTGTTCGGGGATTGGGCTGTTCCCAATGGAGAAAGGCAGACACAACATCTCCACACAGCGGCAAAGTGAACGTGGATGACAAGTCGAATGCAGTTCTCGCTCTAGACCTTTGCCACAGTCCGTCAACAATCACACACCCACTGGTGCCACTGGGCGACGATATGATGCAATCCCAGACGCGCGAATCACTTTGAGGCGCGTTGCTATCATTTGAAACGAGCTTGGTTCGCGTGGCGCTGAGTTCCGCCCGCATTCGGAAATTAAGAGGTTGCTCGGTTGGTGCTCGGCTCCAGCGGCGACGATCTCAGGAGAAACACGCCTACATCACAATCCTCTTTGATGATCCGCTATATTTTGAACCAGACTGCCGACTAGGTTGTCCCGTTGTCTAGAGCATCGATTTGTGCGACCCAGAGCATGGACAGTCGTTGCGTCCGTTGAGAAACATCCAAACCGAAACATCATCGACGAGATGCCGGGGGACAGAAGCGGGAAACGTCACCACAATAATAATCGATCAACAACGTCGCGATCATGTCAGAATTAACGCCCAGCACGCTCTGCGCTGCGTGCCAGTCCATATTTAAGCCAGATACGCCGAAATCACTGGACACAGGCGAGATTCCGCATCATGGCTTAGAAGAACTCGCATCTCTGGCCAGCAAATGCCATCTTTGTTTGACAGTTTTTATGTCCATCGACCCAGACGCCTATAGAAATTTTCGAAATAGAGGATTAGCAATTGATTCGGTTGGCTTCGTCTGGATATCCCCGATTGCCCGGGACCAAGCGAGGTTGAAGTTCCGATATGTGAAGCCAACGAAGTCGGAGGCGGACAAGGAGAACCGGGGACCGACTCCAAGCAGTAGCGGTTCGAAGGCGAGTCTCTCGTTGAGCTGGGACCAAACGACGGGGTTGGTGGTTGAGTTGATTCTGATGCATCCGAGATGTAGGTGCTTGACCCTTTTCTGCCTCTAGGGGTTGCTAACTTGCTGGTGTCATAGTTGCCGTCGAACCTGGAGTCCGGACCATTGACTCCAGATCGGTGAGTACAGCGTCGACAGAAAGTATCGATCTTGCCAAACAGTGGATCCAAGACTGTACGTTCAACCACATGAAATGTTCCGTGTCCTCTGCCACCGATGCGACGTGGAAGCCCACACACCTGCTGGATGTCTCGATCCGAGGCCCCAAGGGCGCTCACGGAGTCAAACTTGTGGACGGCATGTTCGTGGACCCCTTGAGCGAGTACGTCACCCTCAGCCACTGTTGGGGCAAGTCCAAGACGATTCGTTTGCATAAAGGGACCCTTGCAGCGTTGAGGCAGGGCGTCAGCGTGGCAAATCTCCCAAAGACGTTTGCCGAAGCCGCCATTGTGACGGATAAGCTAGGTTTCCGATACCTCTGGATTGACGCACTGTGCATTCGGCATGACAGCGAAACAGACGTGTTGGCCGAGGTGGGACAGATGCACCGTGTCTATTCAGAAGCCACACTCAACATCGCCGCCACATCCTCGAGGGACGATGCCAGCGGACTGATCTACAGTCGCAACGTATTGGCAATACAGCCCTGCATTGTTCCCGTTCCTTTTGGCTTGGGCATTGACGAAGGGATGTACAAAATACTACGCTCCACGCTATGGCACGATCTGGTCGACTCATCACCACTCAACAAGCGGGCTTGGGCTTTTCAGGAACGCTGCCTTGCAAAACGTACACTGCACTTCACTCGCAATGAATTGTTCTGGGAATGCCAACAGATGTGTTGTTCAGAGGTATTTCCGAAGGGCCTTCCCGCCACCATGGGTCCGCCTTCGTCCCAAGAAAGTGTCGAGTTCTTCAGCAAGAAGATCCATCACCAGAGGCACGGCAATTGGCATCAGCTGGTGAAAATGTATTCCCCCAAGAAGTTGACGTACTCTAGCGACAAACTGTTGGCCATGCAGGGCCTGGCGAAGCAGTACATGGCAAAGAACAGATTGCATACCGACGACTACCTGGTTGGGCTCTGGAAGCCGCAATTACCACACGCGCTGCTCTGGCGAGTAGAGGGCGGAAGGCGGCCGACGAAGTACAGAGCCCCAACATGGGCATGGACGTCCATCGACGGCGAAGTAAAGTACCCTGAACCGGCATCCTCGGCACGAGAGACTTGCATTGAAATCATCGAGATCGACATGAAATACAGTCCATCCGGGGACAATTTCGGCTTTGTGCAAGGCGGCAGGATGAAGGTTAGAGGGTTCCTGGCAAGAGGACTGCTGAGACGCACGCGGGATTACTGGGGTTCTACTCCCTGTGTGATCCAATGTACCAAGGCTCAGGTCGAGATCGAGAAAGCAGCCTTTGACGACCGCCTGCCAAAACTGTCCGACGCGGGCAGTGGGATGCTTTGCGAGATGCTCGAGATCTATCTCTTGCCAGTCATCGACGTTGTTGATCGGGTCGAGGGATTGCTCCTGTGCGCGACCATGAAAAAGGGCGAATTCAGGAGGATCGGAGCCTTTGACGTGAGCCGGTATGACCAGGCCAATTGGGACCGGTTTCGGAGTGTCATGAAAGGCGAGGCCGAGATGAACAACTACGTCGAGCGACTGGACCATATGAACGGGTATTGGTTCGCCAGTGATTTTACATATACGATTAATATCATCTAAACATGTTAGTGGGAAGTGGTTCGCGGGGTCGGTGGAGTTATACAGGACGGGGGAAAAGTCACGAGAACGTCTCCAAAGAGCGATGTGTAAATGTCTTGATGCGATGGGATTGGATCTCCTTGAGGCAAGCACGAATACGGGATGAGGACGCCGGTGAGAACATCGATTTATTGTTTGTGGGGTGTGGGATATAGGGAAGATGTTGTTTCTTTTTCGTGCCGTGTTGCGCATGACAGTGTCGCCGGGGAGAAAGATGGCACCAGCGAGACTTGGACCGGATGACACGGTAAAAGGGGGGAAGAAAGTGTGACAAGCCGGTGTGTGTAATGTTTGATGACGACGCAATAGCGCAATGAAGACTTGGTTTCTTGTGTAAATATGTAAATGTGTACATTAAGTATCCAATATCTGATCCGTCGTGATGCTCAGCCTCGCGTTGATCTTGCCTGCAGCCTTGCTCGATCGATGCAATCACGATAGATAACCAGGCCTGCAACCAGTCACCCCGTATCCCTTCACTATCTCGGGTGCAATTGGGGATCTCGTTTCCCACGATTTGTGCTTGGCTTGCGTATACGAGGTAATCATTCCTCGCAAGAACCAATCTCGGTGCTAGGTGGCGCAGCCATCAGCTCAGCCCTTGATCGCGGATGACGCGTTTTGGGTGTTTTCGGATCTGTCTTCCCCTCAATCAACGACCACCCACCCTCGTCGATGTCTCGTCTCGTGGCAAGGAAAAAGCAGGACGGAAGGCCAGTATGAACAGGTCAGATTAGGTAGAACCTACGCGGTGGTTTGGTCTCATGATCTTGGTATTGATGCATAAAATGGGGAACATCGATGGTGCGTGCCGGCAAGGGTGTTACCGGGACGACCCCAACAATGCGGAAAGAGGAGAGAGACCATTTTTCCCCAGGCACACCCCAGGGAAGCTGTTAGCTTTTGGCGTCGTGGCGTCTTGGGGGGAGGAGGGAGAGAGCTATTACATACGAGGTAGGTAGCTAGCATTCTAGATCCCCAAACTAGTACCGAGTAGAAGCAAAAGAAGCACTCGGCAGGGCAGGGCAGGGCAGGGTATTGCAGGTGAGTGGTACGGGAGTACAAACGAGAAACCTGACCAAGCTGCCTCTTATTTATCCCTTCTGGCAATGCAAGCTTTTTGTCTCATTCTTTTCCCATTTTCCCATCCCATCCTACTTCTCATCAAACATCGAACACCCTCATCTACGAGTCCCTCGTGTCCCACACCAGATCGCGGGGAAAGCTCTATTCCTATCAGCCACCAGAGCCACCATGCTTCGTCAGCTAAGCAGCATCCTTGCCGCCTCCACCCTCCTGGTGGGTATTGTCTCTGCGCAACAGGCCCCGACTCTTCCCAGCTGTACGTCGTCCTACGAAACCTCCGTACCGTATCTGTGATGTGATGAGATCTTCCCCCCGCGCACTTCAGGATCAATGCCGTGAAAGGATTGCAGATCGCAAAGTCGAAAGAGCGCGCGCGCGGGGTTTGGTGAATTTGTGTCAATGGACCGGTGGGCTGACCATTCTCGAATACTCGTACAGGTGCTACCGACTGCGTGAGCAGTCTCCTCCCCGCCAGCTGCAACGGCAATCCAACATGTTAGTCCTCCCCCTCTTTGAGCTAGTTGATCCCGACGGTGCAAGAGGCAGAGCAGGAAAAAAAGAGGAAGGGACTCAGTAGCAGTGGCTCACACCAAATTCATATCTATAGGTATCTGCAACACCGCGTCCTTCCTCAACGGCATCGCCTGCTGCGTCTTTGAGGCGTGTGATCCTACAGATCAAACGGCCGCTCTGGCTTATGCGCACAGCATCTGTGACCCCGTCGGCGCTTCTTCACTTTTGGTATGTTTGGATTCTCTCTCTATTGCTCTCCATCGCGGTTCGCCTGGGTGTCGTGACTTTCATCTGCCACACGAGTATATTTTGACATTAGAATTGGCTCACTGAACCATTTATTCTCAACAGCCTGCGTCGGCAACCTGCACCTCAACAACGACTTCGACCGGCACCACCACCTCTTCGGCTTCCGGCTCTGGCGCCGCCGGCAGCTCCAGCGAAGCTAGTGTTTCCTCTGCCTCTGCTTCAGCCTCCAGCGCCAGCGCCAGCGTTTCCTCTTCGCTGAGCAGTGTCTCCGCGTCCGCCGTCTCCGCCGCGTCCAGTGCCAGCGCGGCTGCCTCTTCCGCCACAGGCAGTGTCAGTCAAGTCTCGTCGGCGACTGCCAGCCCCACGGGTGCTGCGAATCAAGTGGCGATTGGGTTTGGTGCCATCGGAGCTGGGATGTTGGGTTTGGCAGCCATGTTGTAGGAGCAGATTCCCAAGCCAGAGACGAGGGAAATAGTTCGAGATGTAATACGGCTAGATAGGAAGATTTCCTTCGATCTAGCACATGTCATCTAGTGGAATATGCACTAGAATCTCATTAGCATCGCCACCACGCAGGAAAGAGATATGTGTAATGTACCATTCATGACCACCAGCTCAAGCTATGATTTTCTTTTTATCCTCACCGCATCTCTCAACAGGCGGAGTGTTTCTGTTCACTCATCATCTTCGGCCTGTCTGCGCCACCTGGCCAACACTTTTGCAACTTCGCGGCCCTCCTCCTTTAGCACTGTCCACAAATAACCCCAGAACAGCATATCAGCGAGCCCGATCGTGAAGACGACTCGATTCGGCAGTAAATTCAGTCCTGAGAGCAGCGAGGTCCAGCTGTCTGAGGGAAAGGTTGAAGACACCGGTGCGGAGGAGGCTGAATGCGAGTGGAACATGTAGATCCAGAACACGAGAGTTGACGACGCCAACACGTGGATCGCCGAGAGTGTGAGCCAGCGCGACTGCGCCGTCAGGAGAGTGTGCAGTTCTTCGGCGTGGCGCGAGGGTGATTTCGCAGATGGGTCAAGGCGGGTGGCCAGTGACGAAGGGGGTGCAGAGGCATTGGAAGAAGCAGCACCAGCACCAGCACCAGGGCCCTGCTGCGACATGGACAAGTCTCCCGCAAAGAGGAACTGTGTCACCGCGTAGGCTACCACCACCAGTGCCAGGAGTGCGAACAGTTCTCGCTCCGAGTGGGAGATCCCATGAGCCTGTGTCGATAGCAACCCCGTCAAATGTTTGCCGGGGTTCGTGCTCGTCCGCCCGCTACTGCCTGCTCTTGCACCGAGCGAGGCGGAGGCGTCATGCGGGCTCGTCTCCGGTGCGTACCCCGCGGGCCGGACGCTCATGCTCTCCCCAAGAAGCCATATCGGGGTCGAGGACAGCAGTTGGGCAGGCGAGGTCAGGAGGTAGTAGGCGCAGGTGAGGAGGGTGAGGGAGTGGGTGCGCAGAAGGAGGGTCGAGGATAGCAGAGGCATTTTAGTTTGTCGTCGAAATGATTTATAGGAGAAAGGCTGAAATGGGGGGTTTCAATTGTCCATTCGGTCAGCTTGGTTGTATTCACGGACTGTGTACCTTGGTGCCTTATTAGGGGGCGTATACGAGGTACGAGGCGCGGTGCGCAGTTTGTGTGGAGAGGGGAAAAAAAAAGTTGACGAGGCTGTGGGGGTGGATTGAGGGATTCAGATGCGGAGATTCCGTCGTCGTCCACCTTCACTACGGCACCTTGAGCACGTACCTACGAGTACTGCCAACTGCCCATTCTCCTACCCCAATTGCATCATTTCATCCGTCGTCACCAGGTCGAACATTGATTACCTACCTATCTCCCACATGCTGCCTCGCGAAAACCAATCCCAATAATGATTTGGCAACTTCCTCGTGCACCTCGTGTCAGCAAGTCGCTTCCATAAGCAGGTAGTTTCATACGCGACGAGCCCTGCATAGCAGCCGCTGTTCGCGCACAAGTCCTTTGGCCCCACCTGGGATGCCTCGCTTCACTGCGATTCCCGCAGGACTTGCCAGACAGAGTTATTGCCCATTACTTGTCCTGCCATGTACGAGGGCAGTCAGAAGGCACACACCCTTCACCCTACGGGTCCGGTAATTTTCTTGTTTCGGGCTTGAACCAGGGCTATGACTAAACTCAACGACACGCGATACGAGAACGAAAACTAACCGACCCACTTGTGCTGTCGAACATATGTTGCTTTCCCCGCTGCCTGCGTATAACTCGAAAATGCTCAAGCCAAGTCTGTTGCGCTCGTTCGACAGGAATCTACCGAGGTTATCGTACCCTTCTCTGGTAAGCTGACGACAGTCATTTTGCTGTGGAGAGATATATAGAACGCGCAGCGACAGATTGGAACATTTCCCGAATCCTTCGAGCTGAGCGAGGTTCTTGTGTCTATCGAGAGTTTGACGTTGTCCCCACGCCACCAAACAGATCCCCAGAGTTGACGCTTCTCATTCTCCTACCTATCCTTCAACTGTCGGATCAAGCCTGTCGCCATGGAGCCGTATACGAATACCGGGCCCGTCAACTGTAACGTGGATATTGACACAAGCAATGTCAAGGGCAAGACTGCTGTCATCACCGGCGGTACGCTTGACGCAATAGAGACACCATACTAGGGTCCTTTCTAATATCCTTGTTCAGGAGCCAATGGCATCGGTGAGGCATATGTCCGTGCTTTGACCAGCGCCGGGTATGAGCGAGCCCTCAATGTACCAAATGGCCAGATATTGATGGAAGTGTAGGGCTTTTGCCGTCATCGCAGACCTTGACGCCGAAGAAGGCGCGAGGCTGGAAAAGGAGTTGGGCAGGTCAGTATCCAAATATGGACTTCTCATCTTGTGCAACACCCATTGACTTTCCGTTCGCAGCTCAGTCAAGTTCGTCAAGTGCAACGTTACCGTCTGGGCCGATCAATTGGCCGTCTTCAAAACTGCACTTTCGGCTTCACCCTCTGGCCGAGTGGACATTGTCATCGCCAATGCTGGCATCAGCGGCGCTGATTCGGTCTTTTTCAACAACGGTATGTGACTGGGGTAATTGAGCTGGATAAAATCTGATGGACTTGTCCAGTCGAAGCCGAGGAGCCTGAAGAACCAAAGCTCAACATCCTTGATGTCAATCTCACTGGTGTCATGTATACCGTCAAGCTGGCGCTTCACTACTTCCGCCGACAGAATGCTTTGAACAAAGGAGCTCCCCTCGACCAGGTTCTCATATTACAGGGCAGTCTCGCAGGATATCTCGACCTATCGGGCGCCATCCAATACAGTGCATCCAAGTTTGGCCTTCGCGGCATGATGAGGGCTCTTCGCAAGACGGAACACGTACATAATATTCGAGTTGCATATATTGGACCCTGGTACGGACAAGTAGATCGTCGAGGCATATTCATGCTAATGGAGCCAATCCAGGTTTGTCGAAACCAAGATTCTGAGCAAGGCAGTCGTCGACCATCTCACGAATTCGGGCATCGATTTTGCCACGGTCGAGGACGCTGGCCAATGTGCATTGAGAATTGTGTCTGATCCCAAAGTCAATGGTAAGCGGGTGGCATCCTTGATGCGAGTGGGTAACTGATAGCGAGGTCTTAGGTCGAGCATTTGCAATCGTTCCCCGGAGTTACGCACCTCGTGGTTATTTGGATATCGATTATGACGACTATCCCGTGGGCACACTATTGGAGAAGCTCCAGACTTCTGCCAGTGGAGGCAACCACCGGTCAGCTGTAAGTCATGTGCTGTTTCAAAACTCTGGATGTGGGAGTCTGATGTCAGGGTTTTCCAGCTCGATCCTGAGAAGCAGAAAACAAAAACTCAGTGGGCCGGGGAGGCGACAAAATGAGCAACCATGCGAGCTGTGGGAGCTGACGAATCGTCCGATGATATATACCCTCTACGCACAGGGGTGTGCAACAGCTCCAATTAAAATGCAAAAAGGGACCCTTTCGTGTTCGTTGCGAAAGTATCTTCTCTGAGGTCTCTTGCCAATTAATGCTTCTTCAACCCTCTTCCGTTCGTGTGTGGCCCATATTCGGATAGTTTAGCTGGTGACGTGCAGCCCCGATTGTGTCATTCCACGCCACAGGTTATGCGGATCTGAAGCCAGTCTTCCGCGGCAGTCGATCCAGCAGCTGTATTTGGTCCAAAGACTTTGGTCTGGATGAGTCGAAAGGGGCTTGCATGTCCGAGTAACAACCACAGAAGGTGGCAGCTCGTAAGGCTGGACTCCTCGGCTTTAGTGGAGCCAGAGATTAGGGTTATGATTGGGCCGAATAAAAATAGACATAGGCCAATAGAAGCGCCAGGATCATGCCTCTAGAGGGCAATATCATCTCCACTAATCTCCACTCTTTGTCACACTCCTCCACATCTGGCGCTTATACGCTCGCAGTGCCTCAACAGCCCCTTGCATCCGATCTGTCTCATCTTTCCCCGTCGTCCAATCTTCTTGGACTTCCAAACGCTCACAGGCCCAGAGACCTCTGTGGCGGCCGGCTGCCAGCGACCCTGGACATGTCTGTTCGCGTGGGGAACGACAACTGTGCATTTGCGAGCCTGTATCTGGCTTCGCTAACCTCAAGGGCCCTGTTCTGTTGGATGCCATCGGCTAGCTAACACGAGCATCAGGCGACAAAGCCAAAAGTCCAGAGCCTCTCTTCTATTATTGTTTTGTACCACGTCTGCAGCTCTTTTCGGGCAAGGCACCATTCACCACAAGCAAAAATAAACACAACGGTGAGTACCGAGGAGTACTACCTGTCCTGTCCTGTCCTTTGGCTGCCCTATATTTCTACTCGACCGCTCTGCGTCCTTTGTACAAACCCCCCTCCTCCGTTCACACAAGTCCTTTCGGATCAACAAAGTTTCATAATCTGTGAGGGAGAATCAAAAAGAAAAAGCATTTGGTTTCTGGTTTTTCCTTTCTTGTGGGGGTTTCATGAGCATATTTCTTTCTCTTCTTCTCTTGGGATAGGCGCCTCGTCGTGTGGCCTCTCCCACCACAGCCTCCGTCTCACGGGCATTTTCAAACAACTACATCCGGTGCTTTTTGCTCAGGCCTTTCATTTTGACGCAAAGCGTCTCCTCATACAACGGCCCCAAACGTCAGCTTGACCCTCGACCCGGTCTGAGGTCCCTGTCCTCGTCTCTCACACTAATACCTGTCGATTCGAGTCGACCATGGCGGGTGTGCTCGAAGGACTCATGTCGTCCCGGCGTCGACCGTCGAGGTCCCGATCAGAGTCCACGAAGCAACTCCATGCTCGCTGGGGCGATGTGGCAATCACGGCTCCCAACGGTGGATGGACCCAGCATTACCTCGACGACGACATGAACAACGTCGCCTACCAGGCCCACGGCAGCCCCGACTCGCAAAAAACCCTCGTCAACACATCCCCCGACTTGAGTTTCAAGGACGAGATCGAACGGGGTAGCGTCGAAACAATCCCACAGCAGTCTCCGCCGCTCATCCAGAAGGAACGGGGTACAATCACCATCACAATTCCTTTGCTGTGGAGCCGGAAGTCCCACCGAAGGTCGTCGTCGACGAGCAGTCAACCCCTCCACCAAACCCAGCCGGCCCGGGTGGTAGAGAAGGTGGTAACCGCAGAGTCACGCCCCGTTCGCCCCGGCATCATCAGCAATATCGACGAAGTCATTGTGGCGGAACCAAGACCCGCAATCGAGCCATTCCGAGTAGACTCGCCCATCATTCATAGCCAGTCGCCGGTATATGACGACGTCAGCACTTTCTTCACGCGGGCAGTCTTTCCAGAGAAACACCCGGGTCCCCCACGGCTTCCGCAGATCCAGACCTCGGTCCCTCCAAACAAGAGCCAACCGGCTTCGGCCATCTCCATTCTGAGCCCTGTGGTGGAAAAGTACAATGAGCTCTCCGAGAGCAACAATGCCACGCCCATGGACAACACCCCCATCGCACGACAGATCGAGTCTGCCATTCCCCACAGTCATGAGAGGCAGGTCGACCTTGCGGGCTTGGTTGACCGGTTGGAGGGGCACGTCCACACTACGCCTCTGATTCCATCAACCTCTGAACCTCCAAGTTCAGACGAGGCTGCAGACCCAGCCATTGAGAGACCCGAGTCTGGCAGCAGTGCTACCAGGCTCCCTTCCCGGCCTTCTTCTCGAGGTCCAGGCATTGGCGAGGTGGCGTACATGCGAGCTTCGTCCCGAGGGCCCTCAGAGTCCAGCGGTGGCCGTCGGTCTGCTTCGCGAGAACCTGCTGAACGGCGGGCTGACTCGGTGGGACCGGGTCGTCGACGGGCTGTCTCGAGAGAAGCCCCTCGACGGCGTGCAGATTCCCCCGCGCGAGGCGCTACTGCTTCGTCTTTCTCCCGCGGATCAACTGGCCGCAGAAATGCCTCTTGCGAACCGAGCATTACCCGCTCTCTGTCCAGAGATCCGGTCAGGCGACGTGCTGACTCTCCTCCACCCGTGAGCCGACGAGCCCTGTCCCGGGAGCCAGCTGTCCGCCGTGCAGATTCACCAGAACCCAAGACCCGTCGAGCTCTTTCTCGCGGACAGGCCATGACCGGGACCGTCTCACCAGAGACAATCACTCCTCGTGCATTCTCTGACGATAAGCCGATTCGTCCTCGTGCAGAGTCTCCAGGCCCGAGTACTCGTCGAGCAGTCTCTCGCGAGCCGTACACTCGCCATCGTATCTCTGGCGACTTTTCCACCCGGCGCGCCACGTCGGTCGACCCGGTCGTGCGTCGTGACAGCCCTCCCAAAGACGACGTCACTTCACGCCATGCCAGTCCTCGCGACGACATCTTCACTCGCCGCGCCAGTCCACGAGACGATATCTTCACTCGCCAGGCCAGCCCCCGAGAGGATATCGTTCCCCGACGGGGCACGCCGGTGGTGGTGGCAACCGCGGAGAGGGACAGGGACAGCGCGGCGGGCTCGAGCTCACCGGATGAGCTGACCCCAGACGAGGCGACCGACATCGAGACCGAGACGGACGAGATGTACTTTGAATCACGCAAGGGGTGGAACGGCGCGGCGGTGGCGGGCAGCGCGAGCCGAGGATTCTACGGCGACGTCGTGCAGGACTACAAGCTGATTGCGCGGGACGTCGAGGCCGACATTGCCGCTTCCGAAGGGCAGAGCTCCGGGATCAACATTGTCAACCTGATCAAGAAGGAGAAGGAAAAGGAAAAGGAAGTCCCCAAGCCAAAGGGCGAGGTAGTCAGCCAAGGCAAGGTGTACAAAGGGCCGGATCTGGTGCTTTCTCAAGAGGAGCTCTGGGGATGAGGACATGGGGAGGGTTTTTGGGTCAGTCCATTTCTTTGTCCTCCTCAACAAGATGGTCTATCTGGCCCTATACTGACGGAGGATGTTGACAGAAGCCAACGGAATGAATGAACCACAACAACATCAACAACACGACAACGATAACATCAAGTCGAAGGCAGAGAGATTGTCGATTTTCAGAAATGAGCCTCTTCGGTACAGGTCATCCAGATATATATCAAGTTACGAGGCAAGCGAGACTCGAACCTCGTATATACACGTATGTACGGTCAAGAACAACAGGTGGAAAGGTGCTTTACCTGATATACAAGGATGTCCCATCACCAGCATGTCAGACTTTACGGAACAAAAAGGCAGCCATGTCAGAATCCCGGTACCGACGACAGCAACCTCATCATTCCAGGGTTTCTACTTCTTACATGGCGCATGAGGATTGAACGGCTTTCGATGAGATAGGGACAGCTTGAGCGGGCATCGGACTGTGAGCATCTATCACTTTCACAATCAGAATCACAAACCACGACTACAACCAGAACGAGAACGAGAATCACTTATTCACTCACTCAGTCTCTATCTTATTGTACCCATCTATCTGTCTGTCTGTCTATTCATCTATCCATCTGCCTACCTGCCTACCTACCTCCCCATCTATCAAACACAACAGACAAACCAACTCACCAACCAACCAACCAACTCACTCACTCAATGAAATGTACGAATCTCCTTCTTCTGTCTAGTCTAGTCGATTCTAGTGCACCATGCACCTCCATACAGTATGTATCGGTATGAATTGATGTATCCTCATTTGGACGTTTCTCTATTCCTCTTCCTACTGTCTATCTCTTCTCCTTCCACTTTAAACCCGTGTTCTCTTTTCGCTCGCGACGTCTCGGCCGCCTTCCTTCCCCTCGAAATAGTACACGCGCACGCCGACGTGGACGGTGTAAACGACGGCACGGCCCAGGCTCCTGACGGATTCCCACCGCGCCGTCCGGTCCCTATCGCGGCCTCCTCAGGGGGATGGGCTGGAAGAAAGCTGGGTTGGTCTTGAGTATGGGTTTGGGTCTGGGAACGCGTAATGTGTTTGGGACACGCTGCTTAATAAGGGCTGTGCTCTCATTTCATAGTGGTAGTGGCGAGACATGGTATGGCGAGGCATAGGTAGATGGATAGTACCAGACACTTTCGAGCCCGTGTAACGTCCAACCAAAACAAAAAATACAAGAGGAACAAAAATTCTGGATAGTTTGAAACGGATCACGAAACATATTGATCACATTGATCCATATTGGTCAATGGCACAGCCAACTTAGCTGCCAAGTGCTGAACAAGGCTGAATTTGATACATCGCTCACCAAGCCACCAGCACTAACAAGTCCCTGTTGTACAATTCTTGACCTTTTCCCTCTCAAATAACCTGGCCTTCAAGAATGAGAAAGCAGAAATTCTGGCCCTGGCTCATCGTCCTCGCTCTCAGACGTCATTGTCCGGTCTGGAGGCTTTGGCCGAACGTTTGTGATTGGCAATGATGTCGGTTTCGCGACGGAATCAGCCTCTCCAGCAAAAGGATCCAGCTCTGAAGAGGGTGGGCCTCGAGGCTGTGGCCGTAAGCGAACGCCAAGAGGGTCAAGCTCGACGCTGTCAAGAGGATCGACCTCTTTCTTCTGCTTGCCCTTATCGAGCGCATTTCCAAACTGACGCAATGTGTCTTCTAGACTCTGGTTGCTGCTTTCGCCTGGACTCCGTAGTCTGCCCGGCGGAAGCATATTGTCCCGGAGTAGATCTGGAGGGTACTCATGACTCTGTGTCGTCTCATGGTCTTCAAGCTGATTGCGATCATTGAATCCGTTGACACTGTCACCGTCATTCAGTTGACCATCGGTGGTGGATGATGGGTTGGCACTCCGCTGGAGCAAATCCCGTGCCTGCTGGAAAGCCGCGAGCTCAGCACCTATTGCGCAGGTGAGGAGATTCCAGTGCTTGGATTCGGCCAGGTCAAGATCTTCCTCGAGAGATGAGATCAAGGTAGAGAGTTTTGTAAGGACCAACTGGACGGACGCCTCTTCAGCTGTTGTCGCCGGTACACTCTTCGCATCAGCCGCTCCGTTCGGGGTGGCCCACTGGAGTTGCGAGTGAGACAGCTCCCGCGTCTGCGTCTTCAAGTCCCGTTCAAACTCGCCAATACGTCTTACAATGTCGCGCCAAAGTCTCGATCCTTCTTCCAGGGCATTCCTCTCACTCTCCGCGCTCGCCTTTCTCTGACCCAGCAACTCCACTTCGTTTGTCCACTGCTCCTGTGCCATTTGCAGGGTCCGCCTCTCTGGCTTCAGGGCGTACATCCCTGGATCATGTCCGGAATTGAGACTCTGCTGGATCGGTGGTCTCCGCAGGAACGATTTGACCTGAACCTCGCTCAGTGCCAGCGACTCCATGTAAGAGCTCAATTCCGAGTCCCTTGAGCTCTCGGTCTCGCGGAGCTGATTCACTAGGATTCTGTGCTTGGACTTGAGTTCCAGCAAGGCTGTCTCCAGGTGTTGGATCTCCTGTTCCACGGCCTGAATCTCGGAGCGTAGACCGACAGGTCCTTCTTCATTTTTGATCTTGCGAATCTCATCCTCAAGGAGGTGTCTCCGGTTTCCTAGGTCCGAAGCCTGTTTCAGAGCGTTGTCTCTAGCCACAACTTCTCGGTCGATGAGGGACAGTTCCCACTCCCTAAGGGCCGCGAATTCCCTCATGGACTTTTCCAGCCCGCGGCGTGCTCCTCGGAGTGTGATCTTTCTGGGCTTCGGTTGACGGATTGGTATGGTCCGCGGTCCTGGATCCGCTCCTGTTCTTGTAGACGTAGAGATGGATGGAGTGGGCGTGGGACTTCCCACAGAGGACGAATCTTCCGGGTCTGCGTTCACAACGCCAGCACCGAGCCCTTCTGACTGCGCATCGAGGAGGCTCTGAAAGGTCCGCTCGAGTGATTTGGCAGCTCTCTCAACCGGGAGGAAGGGATCGTTGTGGTGCACTAAGGACGAGCTCAGCTTCTGGGGTCTTTGAGAGGTCGGGGACACAGAAGTGTTTCGTTGCCTGTCGGACAATGGAGATGGGGTTGCTGCATCTCGTAGCAGAATGCGAGGGCGGACTGCGTCGGAGGAGCGCGACGAAGAGACTGAGACGTCATCCTCATACTGAGGAAGTGAACTTGTACTTCCCGGCGGGTGTGGGAAGATGCGTTCAATAAAGGACTTCCTCATGATTTGACCAGGGAGAGATCCGTGGTCGCCAGAGACGTCGCGAGCTGGAGGGAGAATGTCGCTGTCGCTGTTGGTGACGCTTCACAAGGGGGCACATAACGGAGGCAGAGAGGTCTTTGACATTCAGGCAGGCAGAACTGGCTTCCGTTTGCACAAACGCAGTGTGACACGATCATGTGTACACAACAGACACCAGGATGCCAGAACGAAGTCATGGGCCGCGAAAGTTGCCGAAGTTGACCCAGACATCCCTATGCCGTCACATTCACACCGACGACAACCAGGCACCCAGGGCTGTTGCCTATCAACGACCAGGTTGATGCCTCCGGCGCCAGGTATGTATACAGGGAAAGAGGTGACGGTTTACAGCCAGAAACTTAAACCAATTGTAGGAGTACAGCCTCATATCAACCATGGTAATATCTAGTATACTTGTTACACCACTCGTTTCGGCTTCAAGCATAATCCACACAAGTTGGGTGGATCCAAAGATTCAATGATTGAGTCGACCACGAAGATCATAGCCCAACTGATAGTGCAGGCTTCTAGGACCATGAGTCATTGTTCGTACATAGGCTGACTGGTTACAAGTGCTGTGAAAGCATAGCCCTGAGAAGAGAATTGTGCAGCGTTGAACTGATGCTGGAGCTAGAGAAAGCGCGAATCATGGCGCAGACCGAATCCAAGGCAATGTTGATCCGAGCCATAGAGAAGGGATTCTCTTTCTCTGCGTCCTCCTAAGTGCTTTAGTGCTTTTGAAAGATCCAAAGTTCCCGTGCTTTTTGCACGGAGATTCTCAAAGCTTGATATACTGTCGACTCAGAAAGCTGGTGTCGACACTCCGCAGGAACAACGGGACGATGGACGTATTGCGCGGCGGTGTTCGATAAATGTGTGGCTTTTCCGCTCCGACGCAACATGTAGCGGCGATGGTGATGGAGCCTACATCAACAAACGCCAGGCACCCAAAATGAGTGCTGCTGTACCTGTGCAGACGCCCCTATGTATTTGGTCAGCATCAATTCGCGACAATCTTCGGACCGACCGAATACTTACATGAGCCACTGAAGGGTCGAGAACTTGACCGCTTCTACTCGCTCGCGGAGACTGGCCACCTCTTGCTCAATTCGAGCTTCCGTCTCCTTGATGCGCATCTCCTGTCCGTTCGCTTCCTCCCGTATCCTCCCCTTTTCCAAGTTCAGGTCAAGGCGAACACTGGCTTGCGTCCGGCTGATCTCATCTCGTAGTCTCGAGTTTAACTTGGCCAGATCGCTGGTTAAACGGTCATGACTCGATCGTGTTAATTGTGCTTCGGTGCTATCTGCGTTGGACAATTCACTCCTCAATTTGGCAAAATCGACCTTCTGCGTATATGTGCTTCTCTCCGCATCTTCCTTCAGCACCATGGTTCGAGTAAGGTTCTGAATCGACTCTTCTATCACGTCGTTGAGGACACGCATCATGGCCACGGCCTGCTCCTCTGTGAAGCCTTCGTCTTTCAATCTCTGCACGAATCGCAGCGTGTCAAAGTGGTGGGCTTTATGGTGCACAGGCGTCGTCGAGAACGCCCGACGTGCAGGTTTAAATGTAGCGGCATAAACCCCATTGTGTCGTATGGGAGCTGAATCTCGAGGGAGTGGTTGAACGTCCGTCCGGGGTCTCTTCCGTGATGGAGAAGGGCGCTGCCCGGTCAAGCTAGGAGCGGCATTGCTATGTATTGTCCGAGGCCTCGACACGGACTTGAAGGAAGCAGTCTTC